GCCTCTATGAGCAGCCATGTGATGCCCCCTTCACCCTCACTTTTCCACCTTTATCCAGTGCTTCTTAGTCATAGTAGAGAGATGYATATTCCTTCAGTTACTCACTCTTTCCCCATGCAGAGGCCCTCCCTTGGGAGCAGTTCGGCACCGCAGGGCAAGCCTTGCCTATAGAGGGGCAGGGAGATGGGGAATCCCTTTCCATTTCCTCCGTTTGTGCAGAGAGAGYTTAAAACAGTGTTTAAAATCAGCGGAATGACTCAGAAAAGCAGCACTRGCAGGGTGGGGAGCCTAATTTGAAAAAAAAAAAAAGGCAATGACTTTTGCTTTATGATACATTGGCTGCTGCTCAGCCATCAGTGCACAAAGGGCTTTTCTTCSTGAGCCATTAGCTAAATGAATCAGCAGAGATTTCCAGAGGGAGCATTTCTCCCGAATCCCACCTCCTGTTCTCTGCAAGCTGGGAGGGCACGTATCCCTCTGCCACTGCAGGGACAAACAGGACACAAACAGGAAGGTGCCTTTTCAAACTGTGAGGTTACTGTAAAAATAAATCATGACTCTTCTGCGGAGAACAGCAAACASAAATTATGGGAAATATTTTCAGCCTTTGCTGCTGCAAAGGGAGTGAGTGTAAACAGCCCAGCTGGCACAGCAGGCTGACACTGGGTGTGGGATGGCTCGCAGCCCTGCAGCTCCAAGGCTGCCACAGCATTCCCAGTGTTCCCAGTGCCTGTGCTGTGGCGAGGAAAACCCCCCATGCTCCCCGGGGCTCTGCTCTGACCAGCCCAGCACCCCCACACCACGGCACAGCACCCAGACTCCCACCACCAGGGTCTCCAAATAACCTTCATTTCAGTTCCATCCTTCCAACAGAGGCTTGAATGGAACAGCTGTCCAGAAAGTCACTGGAGCACCTTCCCTATGGAGAGAGAGTGAGAAAGTTGGGGCYGTTCACCCTGGAGAAGGCAAGCTTTGTGTGTGGACACCTCACACCACCTTCCCTAGCTGAAGGGGACAGGGCAGCTGGAGAAGGATCTTCATYGGGAACTGKAATGATAGGACAAGGAGGAAWGGCTTCAGACTGACAGAGAGGAGGTTTAGACTGGATATTAGGAAGAAATCCTTCCCTGTGAGGRYGGKGAGGCCCTGGCACAGGTTGCCYAGAGCAGCTGTGGCTGCCCCATCCCTGGAAGGGTCCAAGGTCACTGTGATTGTAACAGCTCCCAAGGCACCAGCAAGGGTTTGATCACCTTCTGGAGCCTTGTGTGAGCAAGGAATAGGCTGTGCCCAAGCTCYCAGGCAGGCAGGTGGGACTGGCATGGGAACACACAGGGCTGCTTCCCCCCACTCCCCATCCCACCCACAAAAAAAATCAAATTAAAAAAAATCAGCATCCAACTTCCCTCACAGCTCGGTTGAGGAGAAGTGCCGATGTGACTTCACCACTAAAGGTAAGTGAGAAAGGCAAGGATGAAACAGGAGACTGGTTCTCCTCCCCAAAAACTGTGGAGAGGCTTTTATCTATCACACTGTGGAGTGCTGGAGGAGCCGGGTTCCCTCTGCCCCAGCACCAGAAGGTGAGGTGGACCCAAGAGGCTCTTTGCTCCAAATTCCTGACAACAATCAAGGGAAGAACTTCTCCCCCTTGTTAAAAGTGCTATAAAAATCTACAATGAACRCAGAGGGCACAAGAAGTATCCCAAGAGGATGGCTTATATCCCATATATAACTGGAACTTTTAAACTCCTGGCTATTTACAGCTSCCTTGCTGTAAATACTTTAAAATCAAATACTTTCCTGCAGTCCTTTTGTGCAGCAACAGCTCTTAGGAGATTGCTATCACAGCCCTGGGCTCTGTGAAGCTGTTGCCTTAATGTTCAAAATTTACCAACCCCTTTTTCTGATGGAACAGGCAGACATGGGATGTAGGACACACAAGAAGATAAAGGAACATGTCCCTGAAGTTGGTTTGATGACTGAGCTGTGCAGGCTTACCTGGCAGAAGCATTATCAGTGCTGAAGGTGTGACTATCATTAAGCTAAACAAGGTCTCACAGATGTTTCCATGCTCATTAGCACTTACCTATGAAAATGGAAGGCACTGGCAGGTGATTGATTTGGGATTGGTTTGTTTTGTGGGGTTTTTAATGTATTCTTCCTAGCACAGCTGTGTGAAGGAAAATCAGCATTTACCACTCAGCAATAGATTATTGCCTCATGTGATTTGTAGCAATCTTTACAGTAAATGCAAAAAATAATTCCTGCTGTTGAACTGAATTAATATTAATACTTTCTAATGTATCCCCCCTTACCGAAACTGAGAGACTGGTAAGAAAAGATCTCTCTCACTTACTAAAACTGAAGAGTTAGTTCATGGGAGTTCATGTACTCTCATCACATAAAACAGGACTTGTTTGTAGAAAATAGTGTCCTTTTGCTGGCCAAGGCACATAGGAAAAGGTTAATATACCAAATTTACCTGGTTACACATCAGCTATTTAGATGTAGCAGAAGTCAAATAATTAWTTAATTATGCTAAAATATGCAAATAGGGGATAGACATGCACATATGTGCGCTGTCAGCTGAACAGTCACACTTTGGAGAACTGGACAAAACCTCACAGTGCTTTTCTTCTATGGAAAGAAGTTCCTCCCTCCCATTTCCAGTCTTACAGCCATGGGACTATAGAAATACATCCACAATTTACCTTTCCACTTCAAAAAACAACTTGAAAAAACCCCAGCAATACTTGATAACACACGCAGCTTTCTCTATTTGCACCAAGCCTGACTCACTTCAAAATCCTGGCTGTTTGGCTTGGCACATCCCGTTCAAATGATGATACAGAGGCAAAACAATTCTCCACTTCAAAAGAGGTGCCACAGTCAGGCAGCCATGGAATTTGCAATTTTGATCCTGCCCACCCTAACAAAATGAGCCTTCTTGAGGCTTAATATGAAAAGGGAATAGCTAGTGAAAGCACCCGTGGTATCTTGTCCAATGCACTACAAGTAGATTGCAGCAGAGAGAGCAGCATGAGGAGCCTGGAATGCTGGGATTCCGAGATACCAGTGCAACATGGATTGCAGGTGCAGTAGGGAGGGTCAGATGAGGATGGAAGGTTCTTCAGGTGGGACACTTGGCATATGGGCAAGGGCTGTCACTACTTCTGCCAGAGACAGCACTGGGAAAAAATCCTGCTTGTAGCTAACCTTGGTTTGGCTCTGAAGTCAGAGGGAGCACAGAGAGGATGAAACTGGCCGTCTATGTACTCTCAGGTATTCACCCTTTCTTCCTCTTTCTGCTAGGAAAGAAACCTCAACTCAAAACTCCAAGCTYACCTGAATCTGGCAAGTTTATCTTTTACCCAAAAGCTTAAATGCAAAGAATTGGCCATTTCAAAAATTTTATTCTGCTCATTCAATCCCTGAACCTTTTGAGATGGTAGCACATAAAACTTAGTGCTCAGTGTCACACTTTGCTAGAGAATGCTGTGGGCAGACCATGTGAGCTGGGGGTGATGACTCTCCCACCAGCCCACATCCCAAATGTGCATTTCTCAAAAACCACACTAAATTATTTTCTTCTTTATGATAAGGGGGAAGTAGGCCTGAAAAAGCCAGCATGGTGTTGATTTTGTCCTCTTCCAAACCTGGAAGAGCAGGTTTTGGATCCAGGCAAGATTCCCAGCCAACCCTCGCTATGAAGAATTTGCCATCGTGACCACAAACAGCTTTCAGAGTGACTTGTAATTGCAATGAAAACTCCTATTCACACCTCTTGGAAATATTGGTTTAGGCTGTTCAGCTGAGGATGAGTGAAACAAGTGTGAACTAATGTACATTCCTATTCTCTGCTTATTACAGGCAAGAATTAACTTTTGTTCTAGGAAGTAGAAGTTCCAGAACAGCCACACAAATCTGTTGACTCAAAATCTGTCCCTGCCTATATTGCTTTGTCTTTCAGCAGTGCTCAGCCATTGCCAGACATAAACCAGTGTTTTACAGGAGGAAAAAAAAAATAGAGGAGCTGCAGCATTCTGCTTCTAGCTGGACACTCCATGAACAGACTGCAGAGGAACTGAAACRAAAGACCTGGTAATGCTTAAATTCTCAAGGTACAGGAGGGGTACCACATCACAGTAAAGACATAAAAATTATTTGGGCATTTTTTTTGTGTATAAAAGCCAGTGGAAAGGCTCAGGGTTAAAAACTTATGAAGTAATAAAGGAAATGAATGTCCCTCTTCCCACACCACCATGGTCATTCTGCACAAGGACATGGCCAGTGCCTGATATCCATTTTAGCCACCCGTATTAGATATCCTACACATCCAGATGGTTACAGCTCCTCTGGGAAACAAAATTCCTAGGAACTGCAGCTCTTAGAGTGAACAATCTCTTCACTAGCATCCTCTGCTCCTGCTGCTGACCACTGATTTCAGAGACATACTTCATCTGTTTCCCAGGCAAAGCAGAAGCTCAGATGATCAAGTCAAGATCAAACAATCAATTCAAATGGGATGCAAACCCAATGAATAATAGACATGAATCTGGTTACACTGCTAACATTTATAGTTACAGTCTTGCCACTGTTTATTGGTATAATTTTACATTGAAAATAATTTTTTAAAGTAATTCAAGGCTAGCAAACACGGAATCACTGCTGGACTTCCACTGACACTTCTGCTGTCTGAAGTCCCTAAAATTAGGCATAGTTGCTGGAGGTCCTTCTCCTGTTTTGCACACATCTTATTCCTCCTGGTTTCTCTTCCTGTGTATTCCAGGATAGCAGCCAGACCTTCTGACTCTTGCATGATTCTGCAATTTTCACCCAGGGGGCTCTGGTTGGATCAGCTCTTTCCTGTCTGAGGGCTGGTCAAGATAAGAATTCACTAAGAAGGATAAAGGAGATTGCCAAAAAAAAAAAAAAAAAAAAAAAAAAAAAAAAAAAAAAAAAAAAAAAAGCAGGAACTTTTATTGAGTGAAATATCCCTGCTTTCTTCTTCAGCAAGAAAGTAATCATGGCAACAAGAAAAAAAAATAAAACCAAAAACAGAATTGAAAAAGTGCATCTGTTGCAAATGTTATTATTCTTGTTTTTCTTTTTGACTTTTCTTATTCTGCAGAGATTAAAATAGCAATTTTTCCTCTTCCTTTTTTTTTCCTCAGAGTGCAGCATCAGTCATTAGTTTCTTCTTTAGTTTCTGCAAAAAACCCCAAACAGATTCATAAGAAAATATGATCTCACATGACACAAAATACGTTGAMTTTTTCAAATATTTTATATTTCGAAATCAGACACTTCACACACACCAACCTCCAAAGAACATTTAAAGCATATGACACCTTTCAACAATTCTAGAGTAAATTAATTTTGTTTCCAAGGTAAAAGACCGAGAATCCAAACAGAAATCTCTCTTCCCCTTCTCCCTTCTTGCTAAAGTTCTGCCTTGAAGAGAGGTGTTTATGCCTCTGGAAATCTTAGAAATWATCAGTTCTGTGTAGACATACAGCACACAACAGATGATGTCTGAGGAAACACAGAACTTGGCCATCTATTTTACTGACTTTTATGTCCCTAATTCTAAAACCAGATAAATCTAAGAACTAGGTATAGGAGAGGTCTAGGATCATGGGACCTGTCTCAGGCAGCAGCTCACCAAGCAAATCATGCCACGGTTTTCATCCTGCATTCAGGGGAGCTACTGCTGTCTTGGAACCCTTTACTTTTCCCCCCTCCCTCTAAAAAAAAAATCATCTGGTTACCAACAATAGTCTCTGCTTTCTTGCTGCTGCTCTCTACATCCTCTTCTTCAGCAAGGGCTGTCAACTCTGACTCTGCTTGGTGGCTCTGGTAGGAAGTCTGGTCTGGTGGCGTCATCCCCTTTTGTTTTCCAGTCTGTGCCATGGATTCCAGTGCTGTTCCATTGGGCAYACCTTGAAGAAGGTATGGCTCTGTGAAATACTGTCCTTCAGCCGTGCTAGAAAAAGGCATTTGGGAATGCAGCTGATTGGAATAAGGAGCTCCCTCCATGTAGAAATCGCTCCAGGACACAGCTGGATAGACAGGGACATCTGCTGAGGGAAAAGCTATCAAGAAAGGAGAAAATAATGAAAATGATGGAAGCACATCTATGTACAAGATGTGTGTGCTGTGCTTTGCTCGGTGCAAACACAGCACTGCAGTACAGCAGACACCACACACATATAGAGGATCACTTTGCTGTTTACACTGCAGTGTTTATCCGAAACACAGTTCTTAGGAGGAAAAGCATAGCAAGTTCATAGCATTGTTATAATCTAAAAAAAAAAAATAAATAAATCCATGATGCCTCTCAGCACTGATCCTGAGTGTATATAATGACATTACAGAGCGTATGTAATGATATTAGACATGCCCAGTCTTTTTTCCAGTCCCATTTTCCAAGTTACCTCTGCCAAGCATAAGCTGGATATCTCATCTTCACTTTGATATATAAAATCAGAAAACCAAGAAGCAGGAATGTTTTTAATATCCGTAATTCAAATAAGCTGCTTGCTTGCTTATGTGCTGATGTAAGACTACAGGTGTGTCTGCACTGACAGACTGATTTCCAGCCCTGCACTTTGGGAATCCTGGAGCCTACCTTTTTAGGAACAAATTCTTCCCTGTAAGGGTGGTGAGGTTTGGAATTCAGAAGAGTTGTGGCTGCCCCATCCCTGGAAGTGTTTGAGGCCAGACTGGAAAGACTAGAGCAATCTGGTTGAGTGGAAGGTGTCCCTGCCAATGGCAGGTTAGAACTAGATGAGCTTTAAGGTCCCTTCCAAACCAAGCCATTCTAGGATTCCATGATTCTTTCAACTTGGTCATCCCCACTGCRTAACAGAAAAGGCATGCACTGCTGATTGTGCTCTGGACAGAAGCATGGAATAAGAGAATATCAACTCTGCCTCTGTTCCTTCAACAACCATCCAACTTCACCAGCCTGCACCTTTACACACCTCTTTATGCTCACACAATATGCCCCAAGGAACGCAACGCACACCTGAGCATCAAGCTATAAAAACATTTAATTCAATGCACTGGGGCACAGCCCTCTCATTATTTCTGTCACTTCAGACTGAAAAATCACAGAAAATAATAATTATGCCTTGGAACTAGAACAGGGAGCAGGGCCAAGTGTGTTAGATAGCACAGGTGCTGCCAACCTGTCCTGGACAATGTCAGCAGTGAAGAGTGGGGACAGGAGCCAGCTTGCAGTGAGTCAGACTCTGAGTCAGACTTCCCTCCCCAACAAGGTCCACAGAACTGCTACAAAAACAGCAGCAGCATCTGCGGTCTAAGACTCTTTGTTCTCTCATGTCATAAGACAAGGGATGTAGCTTTTGGACTGTGACCTTCAATTTAACAAACCTGCCAGTCCAAATAAATTAACTACAACAGTTTATCATCTGATTATATTTGGGCTTGAATAACTTCCAAAATACAAAGCCCAGACACAAAACAAGGAGATCAGCAATGACATTTTTCCCTAGTAATTTTTTTTTAAATTATGCTGGAGTGCCATAATCTCAGTGGTGTTGTAAATTCAAGTCAGAGGAAAAAAAGGAATCTGTGTCCATTCTCTGCTGGCTCCTATCTCTAACTCTCTTCTTTTGGACTACCCTAAGATATATAACACGATTTCAAACTGGTTTTTGCAGAAGCCTAACAGTGAGGAAAAGGAGGCTTCTCACTATCTCCAACTATCCCATTTGCTGTGGCACCTTTTCCACTTTGCACCCTTGACTCCCACCACATACAACAAAGGGATGTTCATTTACACAACAGGACACTCCTGAAAAAGTCACATCTCCATTCCAGACAAAACTACTGCACTACCTGACACATTAACATTTAATATTCTTTCTGACATGTGCAGTCTGGGTAATAACTTTTGATTCAAATGAATGGGTCACTCAGCGCTTTAAAAAAACCCAAGCACACAAGGAAATTAGGTGAAAAAAAAGATGAGCAAATCTACAGAATTCTGAAGGCATGTGGAYGTTGGTTCTTACTGTCACAGTCGTCACTAAACCCACTAATCATCCWGAATGTTTCAGGGTATTGTTTAGCTACTACAGAGGAGTGGGATGCTAAAATATTTCAGAAATTTACCTGAATTTCCAGTTGGCATGAGCGTCCCCACTGTGTGGTTTTGTACACAGCCTTGTGTGGCTCCATAGGTTATGGCTCCACTGTTAGCAGGTGAGGCAGGGAAAGCTGGATAGGGCTCCAGGGGTGTTGGAGGAGGGAGGTGCTCACTGGAGAACACATAGCTGGCCAGGTGACCTGGAGGGCAGAATTGGGAGAGCTGGTACATCTCCCCCTGGCTGCCATACTGATGGTAGGTSGTCTCCAAGTTGCCTGCAGGCTCCAGCTGCTCAGGGTAAGGGCAGGAAACTGGTGAGGTGAAACTGCAGAGGGCAAGGAGAGAGGCAAACCAGACATGAAAGGAAGGTCAGCAGCTACTACAGCAATCTGTACAATAAACCAGTTTTATTGCCATTCCTTCCTCCCAAATGCCAGGCACAGGACAAAGGCAACAAAAAACCCTTGAGCCACGTGCTTTCCCAGCAGGATTYTTGAACAATGGGTGTTAGCAGGGATTATCTTCCCACTCTTCTAAGCACACCCCAAAGCTTGGAACACCCTCACTTTCACTTGATAGACATGCAATTCTGAGAGCAYTCTGAGTACAGGTAGCACCTGTCTCAGAGCAGGTGTTCTGTCTGTGTATATATGTCCAATGTGCATAATGCATGTTATACAGCTTTTCATACTCCATTTAAAGGATATTGTCACATCTGCATCTCACTTTTCTTTATGCTGCCACATAATTCCTTGTCCCCTGTCCCACCTTTACCCTCCCAAGGTTTCTCCCAGGGGCTGCTTTTTTCTCCACCCTCAGACACCCTCATTTATTCCTACCCTTGATTCTGCATGCCGTAAGTGAAGGTTTCCCTGAAGCCGTTTTCCTGACTGGTCAGGCTGCATTCACTGCTGGGCGTGTCCAGCATCAGGGGACCAATGTGGCCATGAGGATCGAAGGCCAGGCTGAGTGGCAGGCTGGCCCTGCGGATGGGAGGAGGGCTGGAGAGACTAGGGAAGCACGCCACGCCACTGGAATTGACGTGGGGCTGTGGCAGCGCCTCGGTCTGAGCTTGTGCTTCACAAGRGGCCACCATTCCTGCCACCGAGGAGGCTGTGAAAGAAAGGAGAGATTGTCACACTGTGCTGTCACATGAAGAGCAAGCAGAGGGAATGACGAGAGGAGCAGAACAGAAAAGCAAAATGCCAGTGAAAGAGTGGACATTAACTGATGGGAATAAAAGCAAATGAGTATCAGCACCACTGTTGAGAAGCAAAAGGCGGTAGTAGCAAGCTCTCTGGAACACTGAATGATGTTTATTGGTTAAATAAAATTACCTTTGTGATTTCAGTCTCTGCATACTATCTTTATCCAGCTCTCAAGAAGGCAGCCAAATGAAGCAAAGTACTTCCTGGAAAAAAGCCAGGAACAATTCCCCAGTCATCTTCCATTTTTGCTGTCCTCTGGAAGGAATGTGCTGCACAGATCACCCTTTTGAAAAAACGAACTGTGCTTGCAAACAGAGCTGTCTGTGCCTTTACAAATCCACTGTCTAGGCCACTTTGAAACACATTTTCACTCCTGTTTAGGCCTCTCATGAGTCATGTCAAAAACAAAAATTAAAAAAGTAGAGATGGCAGTTGAAGGTCCTCGTGAAAAAGAAGCTGGGAGATGGAAAAGGAAACCAACATCGTTTTCATTGCTAGAATCTTGTTTGGTGACCTGTCTCCTCAGTCACTGCTGGAAAAGGAGAGAGGAACAGTTTCCTACAGAAAAACCTCTGTGGAAAGAGGACAACAGAGGAAATTAAAGGTCAGAATCAGGTATGCTGGTGATCCAGAGTCACAATGATACATGAAGCTCAAGAAGCTTGGGCACAGTACAAGAAAACAAGTTTTTCTCTTATTATGGCAATTAGCAAATGATTTCTCTCTTCACAGGTGTAGCCATCAAGCGTGCAGGAAGCTGAAATGATTTTTCCAGTCTAGCTAGACTGAACCAGCACAAGGATGAGGAAGCGAAGAGAAAATATCAACTAACTGTTCAGGTGAAGTTGGTCTACTCCCACACACGGCAAAGCTTTCAGAGAAAGCCAGGGAGAGTCTGCAGCTGCACTTCAGCYTTGCAGGCATAGAGAGTAACATCAAACGCACTCCACCAGATGTGAATCAAAGGCCCTAAAYGCCTAAACTAAAGATGCCACAACAAGCATTAGCAGCCTTTAGAGAATTTTACAATGCATGTCCAGAGAGCTGATGAGGAGCTTCCACTTCAACATCTTGGAGCACYGTTTCTCAGATCCCCAGTGTGCTGGGCAATTCTGTCTCTCTTATTGCATCGTCCCAGCCTCTGTTTTTTTCTAACTCTCTGAAAGCATGGAGGGAAGGAATCATGATGTTTTAATGAAAACTTTTCAAGTTTTCGATAGCCCTGATTTTGGGTTCAGTCAGAACACTGAAGCAAGATCTAGAACTGAAGTTTTGAGGCACAAAAGGCTCTTATTGGCAAGTGGTGTGGCTACTATCTAAATCAGAAGCCATAACTGCCAGCAAAGTAACACACATCTCAGATACAAATCACTGACATTTTTTATCAGCTTGTTTGAAGAACTGATAAAAACAGTGGGACATTAAAAARGAAAAAAAAAACAAAAACACAAACCAAGAGACAGAAGTACTGGGTTGAACAAGAAAAAACAATGGAAATTGCAGCACTGAACACTCTCCAAAGGTCTTGAGTAACAGATCAGACTGTTCTCATGCACTTACGTAATTTTTTTGTCCTGCTGAAAGTGGTTACAAACACTGGAAAGCACCTGAATAGCTACTCCAGCAGGTCACACTCCGTGGGCCCAACTGCCCCATGATACACAGATAACAAAGTATTTTCCTGAAATCATCCATGAGTTCTTTCTGCAAGAGATACYACTAAACAATTATTTTTGCCTTGTAAATTGATAACCTTTTTTATTCATCTGTTCCCTCTTTTATTTTGCTCCTGTTAATCTGGGCTTTATACTATCCAAGTTTTGTTTCCTTCATTTTCTGAAGTACTCTAAGTAAGAAAACAGGTGGGTCCTGGATGGCCCTATTTCTAGGCAAGCTTTTTCTTCTGAACAGTGATGCTGAATGGATTCAAGTCACGTTGACTTTCATTTYCCTTCTGTTTAATTTTTTGCTTTCATTCTTAAAGAGAAATGTCTGCCTATGCAATGATAAAGAACAACAAACAAAAACAAGTTTCATTCCCTATAGCTGTGTTATCCTTGCATCTAGCAAGGCAAAATTGCAACTGGAGCTTTCAGTAGATTGTGCCATGCAGATCTCTCTTATACAAGGACTCTCTATGTGTAACACCAGTCTCTTCCCTCGGAGAGGATACTTGCCCTTTTTCTTCTTTATGCATTGCACAAAGAATTCAGATGGGACCTTTCCTTCCTATCAGAAAGAATTGCTTGTGTCTTCCACATGGAGAGCTGCATCCCAGTGTGCAGATCCCCCAGAAAGAAATGGCTCAATGCAAGGAGAGGACAAGATCACATACATCCCTGAATGAAACTATTTCTCTGACAGAAATATTTAACAGGGAAAATGTCTTCAAACTGACAGAGAGTGGGTTCAGATTGGATATTAGAAGGAAGTGTTTCCCTGTGAGGCCCTKGYACAGGYTGCCCAGAGAAGCTGTGGCTGCCCCATCCCTGGAAGTGTCCAAGGCCGGCCTGGATGGGGCTCTGAGCAACCTGGGATAGTGGAAGGTGTCCCTGCCTATAACAGGGCATTGGAAYTGGATGAGCTTTAAGGTCCCTTCCAACCCAAACCATTCTGTGATTCCCTGACACTCTCTCGACTAAACTGTGTGTCTGCCGAGGTACTTTAGGAACCAGGAGAGGTTCCTAAAGCATAGAAATCAGAGGATATTTGGTCTGTTTCCTTTAAATGAATTGTTTTGCAAAACCTTGGTTTCTATCCAATTAAATATAGGGCTCAACAGACTACACCACTTCATCACTCTGAAAGCAGTGAATTACTCAAACACTTTGACCRTATTTACTCTGTTGCAAGAAGTGGAAAAACTGGAACTAACTGAGTTACAGTCCTATTGGTTAAAAAMGTCATTGGGTTGACTAAAGGAGCCGTTGCCTTGAGAGGATGACAGGACAATTTAAATGACAGAAGTACTAAATTAGGTTATCAAGAAAGTATCTCAATTACATGCTTCCAGCACATATTTTAGTATTCTAAGCTCACTGATACAATCTTACAGTTGCTTTCCACAGTACCAAAATACTATTAAAGTACAAGCACTATTAAAAAAATTTGAGTCATTCTTATAAAATGAGTTGTAGAAACTAGCCTTAATACTGATAACTACTGATATATTTAGAATACAATGAGGAGACATGCATGGTGGCATGAAATTATAAAGAATTAATTACACTGGGAAGCAGGAAAACACGCATAGCAGTACCACATGTCAGTACATCCATTGCTCAGGATACCATCCCTAAGGAAGTGGTGAAGTCCTCACCATCACTTCAGAAATCTTTTCATACGTGCCAACTTGGAAATGCAAACATATCTAGGAAATGCTTTAGGGAGCACCCTGACTCTAGGGAATGCTCTTGGACTGCAATCATCAGTAAATAATGAAACAAATCCTCCCTCTTTCGTTGCCATCAATCTTTAAAYACAGCTCAGGTAGAAACCTGGTTGAATAGCACACCCCACTGACTTAAAACTTCACTGCAACAGTGACAAAATGCAGCCCTCAGCTTTTGAATTCAGCTACTCTCACTCCCTCAAGGTCTTGGCACAAAATGGAATCTTGCACTACCTGGAGAAGCCAAGGAAGCCCCTTTGGATGTTTAAAGGTAAAGAATACCCAAAGGAGCCTCTAAAACACCAGCAGTTCACAGAACACATCTTCCACACATGGCACTCTAGACTCAAGTTTTAGTCAGAATTTCCATCTAAATCAGAATATGGGATGTGTGTATCTGCCATGGAGAACATCAGAACCAGAACAATACTTCCCTCATTTACACCAGCAAGACCACCAAACAGCTATTATGGAAGAATGCTCTGGTCTTTTATCCTTATGAAGACACATTCAGAATTCCTTGCTGGCTTGTACTAGGACAGGAACAAGGACTGCAAATTTGTCTCCAGAATTACCACAGAGGCACCATGATTCTGGTACATAACTGGTAGAGATTCAATCAGCAGTGAGATGCTATACCTAGAATCACTGAATCATTGGAAGACACCTTAAAGACCATCTCATTGCAGCCCCCTGCAGGAACACCTTCCACTAGATCAGGCTACTCAGAGCCCCATACAACCTGGCCTTCAACACTACCAGGGACGGGGCATCCACAACTTSTCTGTGCTAGGGCCTCACGACCCTCACAAAAAGAAATTCTTCCCAGAATCTAACCTAAATTTCCCCTCTTCCAGTTTGAAGTCATTCCCTCTTGTCCCACCACTACAGTTCCTGATGAAAAGGCCCTCTGCACCTTCCTTGTAGGCCCCTTCAGATACTGGAAGGTTTCTCTGAGGCCTCCACAAAACCTCCWCTCCTCCAGGCTGAACAGCCCCAACCTTCTTAGCTTGTGGAGTAATCTGGTGCCACTTTTTCCCTGATGGCATAAGGCTCTGACATGATCTTCCCTAAAACATTTGGAACATCCCAGCTCCATCAGCTGATGCTGTAGCTGTGCAGAACACTCGTGCTGGTTGGGATCTCACCTGGGGTGGAGGYGCAGGGTGCAGGGTGTGTGCTGAGCAGGCTGGAGGAGTTCCCTGCTCCAGAATCTCCTCCCAGCACAGCAGGCTGGTCTCCAGCAGCCACAGGCAATGGAGGCACGGGCAGAGGAGGTGCCCTGCAGGCAAACACAGAGGACAAGGCAGGGCATTATGATCAGTCATACACACTTCAATCCTACAAGGGGCAGATCCCAGATCAATAACAGTAGAAAGGGAAAGCACYTGATGACTACAAGTGCAGGGAATGCTGTATCGATAGTCTTTGGGGAAGCAGCCCCAGGTCACTTGTGTAAGACAGGCAACAGGGACAGTGCAATGAAATAAGTCAAGTGGTCTCCAATCTTTCACTTAATTTCTCCTCTTCCACTTAATTTTCCTCTTTTCATTCTGTTTTCTTCCTAAGAAGAAACTCACTCCAGATGGCTATAAATACATCCCTATGGAGATTGATTTTTTCCCTCACATTCACTGTCTCTTGAAAGACCATCTGTCTTCTCATATATTCCCTTCCCCCCATTAATGTTCTCTGCTCACATATGAAAGATGCCACCTTTTATTTCTTCAAAGAAGCCCATGACTTTGTAAGACTGATCCAAGCAAACAACATTTCCATCACCAAGTGAAAAATCCATGGATATGGAAAGCAGTGGTGGGAGAACTGGGTTAGAAGAATCCCCAGGCACACACCAAGCACTTGGTTGGTGCATTCACAGAAACTAAAAGTGAAGAGATGATTCTATAAACTTTTCTATCTCATCCCTTGCCCTCTACATGACTTCAGTCAGAGCAATTTCAACAGTTTTATTCCAAAATTAATTTGATTAATCTGTGCTACARGTTAATCAAAAGCATTTTTAAGAGGTTCCACCACAATGTGCCCAGAAAGCTGGGCTACCTAGTTCCAACTCAATGCTCAGCTTTTCACTTTTTAAATATAAAGGGGAAATAGCAAAGGAAACATTTTTTAAGTATCAGTTGTGGAGAAATGAGAAAAGAGAGTAAGTTCCTCACCCATAACCCTCTGATCCAAAGGGCATTGGCAGAGCTGATGATGCTGGATATTTTCTATTGCTTTTCACACTCAACTTCTCCAATTTCCGCCACTTTGCCCTGCGATTCTGAAACCAGACCTGAAAAATGGGAAGAAAGGAATGCATTCAGGAAGGAAACTATGGGGACACTGGCAATGTTCTAGTCCCTTTCCATCCCTTTTGTGTACAGAGCCCACAGCCAGCACTGTTCCCCATCAGGCGTTACCAGGATACGCTGTGGTGTCACACCRACCACAGCTGCAATATTCTTCCTCTTTTCATTGTCAGGGTAGTGATCTTCCTGAAACATCTTCTCCAACTCTTCTAGCTGCTCTAGAAATAATGAATTGTCCAAAGAGAGAGAGAGATGGGAAGTATGTGACCAGTAAACAAGAAAAAAAAATTAACAAGAGAGGAAAACAGAAAAAACTTGAACATTTTTACTATATTCAGAGATACAGGAATAACTATTTTTTTTTTTTTAATAAACCACAAAAATGAAAATTTCCTTTTGCTGTAAAAGAAAAGAGCATTACTAGTGATGCTTCAACTTTAAGACACTCAGTAACATTTATTTGTGGAAGTCTTTACACACCTAATGGTGTGGGGTGCAGTACAGGACTAGTTAGGGMAGCTCACAACCTCCATGCTGGGCATTCAGCATGGGGAAGGGAACACCAAGTGCCACTGGCACTGCCAGTGTCACTGTGTGCCCGTGTGTGCCCCAGGATCTACCTGTGCTGTAGAAGGTGCGGGGCTTCTTTTTGATGGGTAAGGGTTTTTTCCCCTTGGCCACATGGTGGCTGCCTCTGGAGTGCAGGACTGAAGACCCCTTGAAGGAATCCTGAGCTGAAGTGCTGGCTGGAGCACCTTTGGATTGGTGAGGGGCTGGGCCGATCTCCTGCCTGCAGGGAGCTCCAGCTGTTCCACCGGATTCTTTCTCAGTGTACATTCCACTGCTGTTGGTAGTTTTTTCCTTCTTTGCCTCCTTTTCAGCACCAGCAGGGTAGYGATTCTCACCATATTCATGTGGCCCTGACTGACCTGTGGGCTCCTGTACTAATCCAGCCACAGGAAGCAGGTCCACAGCCTTTGTGTCACTGCAGAAATCTGACGGTTGCCCACATACCGAGGCAAAGCTGCGCTGGCCATCAAGTACCACTAAGCCTTGGGAAGATGACCCAGGTGCTTGCAGGGTACTGCAACTCCCATCTTCTTCCACCTTCTTTACAGAGCTGTTCCTATCTTCTGTTGCCAAGTTATCCTCAACTTTTTCTTGTCTGTCTGTGCTTGAGAATGCAGGTGGTGCACTGCTCCTGGCATGGTGGCCACCAACAGCATCAGCATCTACCACAAAGTGCTGTGTATTCAGCAGCATGTTCTCCTTCTCATCCTGGCACTCTACAAGGAAAAAAATGGAAAAAAAAAACCCAAAAAAACCCCAAAAAAACAGAACAAACCCCACCCCCCATCCACATTGCCTAAGCCGGATGTGCTTGGATCCAGAGTTTCAGTAATGGGGAAGGAAAAGATCACACAATGAAACCCAACAGTGACAAGAAACAGAGAGYTCAAAATAAAGACAGGTGCTGCCAGGAAAGCAACAGCAAAGAATCTGATATGGTCAATATGGAGATATTCAATCACCTGTGAGCAGAAAAGCCTCATTTTAAAAGCAAACTGTAAACCAGAGGAGAAGCTTATTCCAGACACARAGAATAAAGGGAAGGTTGCACATTACAAATAAAGTAGTGGGAAAACAGCATCAGGGGTAACAGTGGTCTCTGGAATAAGAAACAGAACAATGATCAGTGATTTGGTGAGATCCTGTCACCTTATCAAAATGAGCAAAAGAAAGGCAGAAGTGAAATTCTGGTCTACTGTGTCAGCAGGGATCATCTGACAAACGTCATCAATTTTTTACTTTTACGTAGTTCATACTGAAGCTGGCTAAGCAAAAAAAAAAACCACATTAATTGTACAAACTTCTAAATAAATGCCTTAAATTATTTTTCTGCAGCTTCAGCCACACGAATAACAGACAAGATGGGAATGAAATAGGTTGCTGAGGACAAAATTAGGTGCAGAAGTCTGACTAACAAAAAACATGAACTGTGCTACAATGAGATTGAATAGAAGAAGACAGATCAGAAAGAACACAGCAAGAGAAATAATTAAAATTGGCAACAGAATAATTCAGAAGCAATATACTTTCCTAGCTGGCAGCTACATTTCCAAATAAAAAGTTCCAAAAATCTCCCTATTGGCTCAGAAATAGTGAGTCTATGTGATTTCTGCTATTTAAAAAAAAAAAAGTGATTATTTCTTAAGAATAGAAAGTAGAATAATAAACCCAAACCCACGTATTTGCCTCTGTCCAGAAAGGAAAGTTTGAGCAGACTGTTGGCAGCATTTCAATTGTATGTGACAACAGAGGAACTCAATTTAATTTTTTGGGGAAAAAGATAAAATAATTTCATTTCACTGTGCTCTGCTTTTGATATACATTAGTGCAATGCCAAAATAAACTATTTGCTTTTGTCCCAATGTCTCGTTCTGAAACAACTGTTAATCAAGAAGGAGCCCCACAACTCCAARCTGATAGGAAAATCTTCACAGAAGTCTGAGGGGATGGGAGGCTGCTCCAAGAGCATCTAATTTGCTTTTTACAGGATTAAGAGAACCAAATTAGGAAAGAAACAGAAGCAGGAAACTATGCAGCTATAATAATTTGATCTTGTTAAGCAGCAACAAGCTTCCACTGATGTTAAACGAGATGAAATATCCTGATGGGGAGGGTCAAGAACTGAGTGAGGCAGAAGTGGCTCTGATMTATGTAATTCCTTTTTCCACCATCCTTGTGGCTGCATCTGAGCTTGTCTTGCTCATTATGTGGAAAAAAACATTATTTTCACATGATTTGAGCAGGGTTTTTACTTGCTTCTATACAAACACCAGTATGTGCTTACATCACAAAATAAATGTCTAAGTCTCACTTGGGTCCCTCGTAGCAGAAATGGACACCTGGGAGTTTTAGACCCTCTACAGAAATATTCCTCCAAGTGAAAGTAAACTGCYGTGTTTTATTTCTAAAACAGATAGCAAAGGTCTCAGCAATTTGGAGCTGCCAAGAAGAAGAGCTGAAATGAAAACCAAGTTTGGAGAGAAAGATGGGCCTTCATGGYAACAAAGGGAGTTATAAAACCACTCCTTTCTCCCATCATTCAGAGACCAGACTAAACATCACTTTGTCACACTTTTAGATAAACAGAACCTTAAGCAGAAGAAATTTAACTGAGTGCGAACATCAGGATTAGGCAGTCTAGAACACTGKGTGCACGAACAAGAAGCTGAGACYTCTTTTCCATCTCACAACCACCTCCTTACACATTCCTGGAAATAAGCCAACCACTTGCACTCCAAGATTTTTAAGGCTATTTGGGGCATTTGGTACAAAGCCACCTCAGCATACACACAAACGGGGGRAAAAACAGCTTCCGAGGTCACTCCACACAAAGAGGTGGAAAACTACACAGCGGAGGAAAGTGCAACCGAGAAACCCAGAAGCAGCGGGACACGGGACACGAAGGAAAAACCCGCTTCTCCCAACCCTCGACCAGGTGCTTTTACAAGCCAGGGGACACGAGGGGCGAGGAATCCATCATTGCCAGCCCCGGGGCCAGACACCGTGGGGCTGAGGGAGGCTAATGAGCACCCAGATAACATCGCTGGGGAGCGATTATCCTCCCCCGGGGCTGCTCATTAGGCTCATTGCCGGGTGCCTCCCCTCGGTTATTAACGCGAGGCGGCATCCCTCATACTCTGCCCTCACCYRTCCCCTTACCGCAGCCCAGCSCTCCRGCCGCCTGCTCCGGTTCCGTGCGTGCCCCGTCCATGCCCGCTGCGCTGCTCTYCGGCCCGGCCCGGCCCGGTTAATGCCCCGCCCGGCCTGCCCGGCCCGGCCGCCTCATCAGGGCCACCTGGGCACCGCGGGGGAGCGCCCCGAGCCCCACACGGAGCGAGCGGCAATGTTCCAGGCTCGGSGTGGGTATTTGGAAAGATGGTCCCCGTGAGGAGCTGGCTGAAATATCGCCCTGAGAACCTTTTGTGTTGCAAAACTTAGAGATCACGGATGAGGGGAATCCCGTCTGGGGTGTAATACCGAGTTTGGGGCTCCTCGGTAAGAGAACGACAAAAGAGCTACTGGAGAGGGTCCAGCAGAGAGGAGTGAAGATGGTGAGGGRTCTGGAATGTTACGAGGAGAGACTGCAAGGGGTGGTCCTGTTTTGGCTGGAGAAGAATGAGAGGGGATCTCATAATCCATACAAACATCTCTAAGGGGGTGTCCAGAGGATGGTGCCCGACACTTTTCAGTGGTGCCCAGTGGCAGGATGAGGAGCAATGGCCATAAACTAAACACAAGAAGTTTAATCTCAACATGAGGAAGAACTTCCTTGAGGGTGGCAGAGCACTGGAACAGCTGCTCAGGAAGGGCCTGGAGTCTTCTCCTCTGGAGACATTCCAAAGCCACCTGGACATGTTCCTGTGTCACCTGCTCTGGGTGACCCTGACTAGAGCATCTCTAGAGGTCCCTCCCACCCCTAAGGATTCTGTGATCTTTTCCTATGGCAGGAAGGCACTTGTATTTCAACATGCTCTGGCTGCAGGTTCAGCAGCTTCTGGTTCTCCAGTGACTGGGGATTGAAAAAAAAACAAATGACACTCCTTGCCTTTTGGGTGCTGTAATTTGTGTCCTTTCAGTGCTTCTCAATTATTAGTAAAAATAATGCCATCTCCAGTGCTGGCATGAAGAATGGGACTTGCTTAATTGTGTTCTGATGCATCAAAATAGAACATCCTTCACCCTCCTGCTGTTCATTGGCTCACCATCTTGTTGCTAACATAGCATTGTTCTCTTCCTGAGGGTTTCCTCATACCTCCTGTCTTTGTTTCAAAGTTCACTTTTAGCTTCTAAGGCCCTGCTTCTGAAGATGCTTTCACCTGAGAGTAGTTTCATGAGGTGAAATGAAGTAAGCTGAAATAAGCATGAGTAAGCTGAAACATTTGTGCCAACATTTTGGTGCCAGTGTAATTGGTCTAACAGTGCACCTGGTTCAGCTATCAGCTGCAAGAAGTTGGGGCTAAAATGGCATTTGTTAACAGCATTCAGCTGACAAGACACAACTATYTTGGAGGGGATGGGATCTCTTCAATATTAGAAAAAGTGCAAATATCAAAATCACTATCTGCTTTAAAAGTTGTTTCTGAGCAAGGTTGTGTTTATTTACTGAGCTCTGGTYCTAATGTCACCTTTTTTTCTGAAAAGCAGTAATAACTCTGGAGAACACTTTATTTTCCTTGAGGAGGGACCAACACAGGTCTCCAGGACTGGGAGTTTTTGGGGTTTTTTGGAGCCATATGCTTATAGAGCCATATATGCACATTAAGTGCATATATATACATATATAGGTTTTTAGAGCTATACATATRTGTGCATATATATAGATTACCACARTTATATACTTAGATATATTAASCTACTTTATAATCATACATATYTTAAACTACTTTRTATGAAAAATGACAGCAGTCATAAATTTTATTTTCAGATATAAACCATTACATTCTCAGCTTCTCAATAAAACTTAAAGATAACTCATGCTTGTACTTCACTGCTGTCCTTGTTGCAAAAAGAAATTAGTGCAACTGCCCTGTGAGGGTTGTCTTTTTTTTTTTTTTCAGTGTAGAAGTCCTGAATTTCTTTTGTCCAGATACGCTATGTATCAGTCTCCACAGGTTCCTGGGGAAGATAGAGTGGCACCTCTCACAGCTTTTGGGAATAGTAGAGAAGTATTGGGATTTGCATGACAAACCCTATGCTTCTGTTTAATACTGATTTTCTGGACAATCAGGTTATCCACATTAGATAATGTAGGGAGAAATCATGACTCATAATTAAGGCACTCTGTTAACTTCATTCCTGCATCCTGTGCAGTTGGAAGGAATTTTGTACTTGTTTGGTTACATTTGTACAAACCAAAGGGATGTCAGTAGGTTTCAAAAAGCACTTCAGTGCAGATTTGATTATGAATTTTGGTGGTAGGCTGGTGCTGGGGCTAAAAGTTTAAGTAAATGGTGAGAAGTTGAGGCCTATATGAAATGCAACAAATGCCAGTAACCCGAGGTAGAAGCACTTGTTCTTAGAAGCGTAAGCTGACCTTTAATTGCCCCTCAAAATACAAAGGCTTGACATCAGGAAATAAAGGCTGTACCTGTGTCAGGGACACGTTAACCTTTGCTCCATATAGGTAAACAGTATAGAAGTGCTGTCAATCATGACAGCCCCTTGCTGACAGTACCTTTAAGTTTCCTATCTCAACTGGAATTCTAACAACAGACAGAATTTAACACAGAAATCACCTTGGGAGAAGTTGAAACAGTAAAGAATTCTTGACTTCAGGTGTTGAACAAGATGACTTCTGATTTAGAATGGGAATATGTAAGGCTGACTCCTCCTGGATGAAGCTGAAGTGGATGTGGGATGCCTCAACCGCCTGTCTGAGAACACCTTAGAGACATGCTGAATTGATCCCACGGCAGTGTTCTGTATCCCAGCTGAGACTGACAATCCTRGAGACTTAGGAATTGCATAAATTCATGGGACAGGTCTGGGACAAGCAGGCATTTGGGATATCTGAACATTCTGGGTCTTGTGGAGGATTATAACCTTTCTTGTGTGAGTTTGAGGGAAGGCTTTGCTCTAGCTCTTAGCTCAGGACCAGCTCCAATTCTTCTAGGGGAAAAAAGGTTTTGGCAAATTGTTGTCTGGACCGTAGATTAGAAGTTGAATAACTGGGTCCTGTCTTTCTGCTCTAGTGGGCTGGACTCCCATTTTCTGTAGTTCATCCCTTCATCTTACCTTGAGTTTATGGATGACTAATACCACCATGGAACCTGCAGCAACAGCAGCAGCTCTCCAGGGCCAGGGATAACAATGAAGAACCTTAAGGCATGAAGATAAATCCAGCTTTCCTCAGTGCCTCTGCGAAGGAGARCTGTTTGTACTCAATAGCTACTTAGAAAGGAAAGTAATAGCAAAAAAATACTGAATGTATATTCAGTAAATTTAATTACTTTGAGAGCAAAACCTCAGTAACAGGGAAAGCAGAGAGTTTTTTTTTATTTTAACTGGAGAAGTGCATGAGTTTATTAGGACTAAAAGCAACCCTTTTTTCTCAATCCAGCTAAAATTATTGATATAAATAGGCTGTAATAAGCTATTCTAGATACAATGCAAATAGGATTTAAAGACAGAATGTTAGAGACAGAAAGCTGGAGATACGAAGGTAACTAATTCTTCAAATATATTAAATGCAAGAAGGCTACACGTGGCTTTCTTTGGTGTATTGATTCTTATACTTGATCTTGCATTGACTGAGCTGAACACTGTAACACAGAAAGTATTTTACAGTTGAAGGCATATCCTCAAACAGACAGGTTCTGCACAAATGCATGTAAACTGGACTTAAAACCAGAGAGTTATAAAAAAGAACAAAAACCCTGGTGCAAATTTTGACTTTATCTACAGTGGCTAAATATGTCAGTGTTCTCCATAAGTGTGCAAAATGGTGCATGCAATACCACATCAGCAATCAGGGTAAGAGCAGCAGCAGGAAAGTGCCACTTCATTGCATGTGCCTAGTCCTGGTTATTTTGTACGGGGCATGTACCAACACGAAATACAAATCTTTGTCAAAAGTCACTGACCTCCTTCCAGGGGGAGGCAGAGTAAAAAGAAGGGTCAGTTCAAATGGTTTAGTGGGATGCTTGTTGAGAAAAGAGGTGACCTGCGTGAGGCAAATTCCTCAACATGATACCTCTTAAGTGGGGGAAATTATCACAGTAGCTTCTGAAAACTTTGTTTAATTTCAGTGGATTTTGTAATGCTGTCAAGGACTCTTAACAGCATTTTGGTACAATGAAATATTTGCCTATCTAAACCCTAGCAGACCTGCATGATCTAATACATAAATGACTATAAATGGAAATTACACTATGGAGATCAACGCCATGAAGGTATCAAGAGGATATTCAAACAGAATATTCTCCTCAGCTCCGTTGTGCTTTGCACTTAGCACCTTCCTTCTCAGGAACTCAAAGCTCTCGGTCTGTTAATACTAGTGAATTTAGCCTCACAACATGCAGTGAGGTAGGTAAGTTTACCCCCATTTTGCAGATGGCAAAACTGAGGCAGAACGCTGAAGTGACTTGCATAAGGTCCCACAACTTGTCAGTGGCAAAACCAGGAATATGCTTCCAGAAGTCCAGACCCCAGACCTCTGTCCAATTTAAGTCCCTCCCTACTACCACAAAGCAAGCAATACATGCAACCTTTATTCCTCCTCCTGCTGCCGTAGTCCTGCTGACACAGAGGAAGTTTGTCCTGATTGAATTCCCGCTTTCTTTGGCAAAAAGCACCTGGTCCTGTCAAAGTGCTGTATTATGCTCTTCGCAGAGGCATTTTTTTCTGAGGCACGATAGAAAAGCCATAGTTTCCCCATGGCAGGAAGACTGTACAGGTCCAAACAGAGTCTTATTTCTTGCAGAAGACTTGCTGCTTGGCGTTTTTCACCCGTTGTTCCTCCTTCAGGTTCTTCTGCCGCACCTGTTTGCTGGAGATAGTTTCCACGTGTTCCGCAGGAAACCAGCCTCTCTCCCGGTCTGACAGTTTTACTCCTTCCATCCATCCTGTGGTGTGGGGAAAAGCACAATGTGAGGCAAAAGTCACGTTTTTTTAATTGTTTCCCTAAAAAACATCCTCTCCACAAAGACTAGAAGAGCAAAGGAAAAGATCCCCTTTCAGCTTCCAAATAAAGTGTCCTAAAGATGATTAGGA